AGCTAATAAGAATACATTGCCCAGAAATGCAAATTAACATTCCTATGATTAGTAAATACCTCTTGTCTTATCAGTAAGTAACACGGTATGAAAAATAAGTAATTGTTTCGAAAATAAGTAATTGTTTGATATTGAGCTCCTTAACAAAATTCAATATAATTCACAAAATTCATTTCACATAATATTTCGTGAAGGTTGAGATGACATATAATTGTAACGGTTCAAAATGTAGAATACATTCTTTAGAATACATTCTAATACCAGTTTCTGGTTCAATTTGTCGCAAACTAATGTGAGGATTTCGAGTCACTATTGCGCGAGAATCTCAATTTCATTCCCTTCATAAGTTATTCGCTTTTCATGTTCACTTTTATTTTTATTTAAGCTACCGTTTTGTTTAAGTTTATTGCATATATTTTTAAATGTTCAATGCGAACGCCGAATATCATTCAGCGATATAAATTTTATTATTCGCATTGAATTTTACATAAATGAATTTTACATTTTCCATAAATGAGGATCTTATTAATTTGTTCTTGAAATGGATACATCTTGCACGATTGATTTATTACAGTATGATAGCTCTCTTTATATCATGCAATTTAATTACACAGATCTTCCTCCTGGATCTCATAGATCTTTAAAGATATCTCTAAGATGATAATAGTCCTGTATATAGAAATATTTAAACAATTCAAATTTCATCCATTACTTATATTTATTTACTTATATTTAGGTACTTATATTTATTATAACTCACAAAAATAAAATACTACAAACAAAATAAGATTTTTAAAATAAAATCTGATACATTTACACACACACACACACACACACACACACACACACACACATATTTATTTATTTATTTAACTGAATAAAATATTGCATATTAAAATATTAACAAATTTTAGAATAAAAAAATTAAATCAGTTTTTTAAATTATAGTTCATCAGAAAAGAAATCACAGCATATAAAAAAGAAGTACGATGTTAATGTACGTAAAACCAGATTAGAAGTACCTATGTTGAAGAAATATCTACCCGCATATCAAACGCCAGGTTTAATAGAAGAGCTGAAAGAACACGATAGAATGAGATTAATTCAAGAACGAGAAGCTAGAAGATGGACGGCTTTGAGCGCTCTTCGAAATACAAGGGATTCTCTCTCAAGTACAAAATCGAAGGAGTGGGCATGCGGTACTTCTGTAATATGCGATGCTCGTGAAAGCGTTAGCAGATTAACTTCGGTAACAGAATTTATTTTAGCTCTTATTATCTATTATCTAAAAATTATCTAAGAATTCTTGTAGTATATCGTATCTAATAATATGCTCATACTTGATTAATTTTCCTTCTAATTGAATCTTAATATATTTTGTTGCTATGTGATTGTTGAAAATGGAAAGTATTCTCAATGTGATTACGTAGCAACGTAGTCTGCTAAGAATGTAGTCGCTTAAAAATGAAAGGTTAAAGATATAAAATATCTCTCAGTTTCGATATGAATTCCAAGGTCTCTACAAGATTGATCGAGGGGAATACCCTTCCATATCAAGAAACGCAAACTTTCAAAGACATGGTGCGAGAGTTTCGGAAGAAAGTGATGAAAGCCGACAAGCCTCTAATATCTTTATCTCAGCGTGCAGACAAATGTAAAGATCTGAAACAATTATTTCCTCCCAAAAATGATCATGTAGGAATTACGACAAAGTTTGAGAAAGTAAACAAGTTTAAGGTAAATGAAACTTTATTCGCGAGAAATTTAACCGGGATTAGGATGGTAAAAGTGAATTTATGCGTAAATTGCAGTTAACCACGGAAAATTCAGTTGTTAGCTTTCAGTATGGAAGCTAAAACAATTTAATATTAATTTATGTTCTTCCGGAATTTAATGCATATAAATGTTTTATGTTTCAATAAAATACAATTAGTGTTATAATTAATGTTCGTATGCAGCCAAAGTGTGATAAACGCGAAAGAGAAGAAGAGTGTACTACAATATATGACGCAACTGAAAAATTTCAAAGTGAATCGTTTAGCGAGGTGTCATCGATTTACAGTTACTACGAACATCGTCGATTTGATGTTTCGACTTCTGACGAAACCACAGATAATAATGATATCTCATAAATGTGTTTTAAGTGTAATAAAAAAGTTTTATAATTAGTGTGTTAATGGTAAATATTATTTAAATGTTAAGGTGACTTATGAAATTTTCTAAAATATATAAATATATAAATATATAAATATATAAATTAAAAATCTAATTTTCAAGTTTAGATATTGATAAGTTTAACAGAATTCATAAGCATATTAATTTATTTTGGAATGATTAAATTAAAAAAAAACTCACTTCTCTGATATCAAGTATTTATCAAGTAGCGTTATGGAGCAACATATCAAATATTTAATAAAGTTGATAATAATATTAAAAAATCGCATTCACGTATTGTATACGAGTGCAATAATTCATTTTATGTGCATAATTGGATAACATAAACTGCACTGAAGTTTGAAAACAAGACTACCAGAATCAAAAGCAAACAACAGATTTCTTATCGTTGGTGCTAAATGCTATTACAACTATACGATTAATTAATAAGCTCAATGACGAGTCAAAGTTGTATTGTTTGAAAAATTTACTAACGCGGAACCTTTGAAGACGATCGTATATTTTTCACAGGCAAATTGAGAACGCTCGTAAATCACGAAGGATTCCGAAACTCGTGACCATCGGAAATGCGATCAACAAGCTACGTGAATAATGTATTGGTCGATTCATGTGTGTATATATATATATATATA